TAGATGAGGACGCTGCGATCGAGCAAGTCGCGAAACTCAGTCGTCATCGCTGCTTGGAAAGTCGCGGGGGCATTAGTGAGGCCAAATGGCATGACAACCCACTCAAAATGTCCGTACCACGTCTTGAACGCGGTCTTGTACCGGTCTTGAGGCTGGATTTCAATCTGGTGGTAACCTGACTTCAAGTCCAACTTCGAGAAGTACGTCGCGCCGCCTAACCGCTCAAGAAGATCATCAATCCGAGGGAGAGGGCCGACGTTCTTTACGGTTTGTGCGTTAAGTTTCCGATAGTCGATGCATAACCGTAGATCTTTGTTCTTCTTCCAGGGGCACCGTATGGCGAGCAACCAGGGCGAATCCAGCCCTTGTCGAGAAGGTCATCGAGTTGTGCGCGAAGCACCTCGAGTTCCTGTTCGCTCATGCGGTAGATACATCCACGCGGAGGGACGACGACAGCCTCGAGAGTGATCCCGTGACGTATGGGCTGATCCGAAACCGTTCCGGTGGGAGCCTCGAAGACGTCTCCATACTCGTCCAAGAGGTGAGAAATGCGTGGGTCTGGCGGTGACGCGGCTGGTCCGTCCGGCGAGGGGAGAGCATGCAAGAATACAAGGCCCATCTCCTCGACGTCATTCCGAGCTATGGCGTCGCGAATTCTCGCAACGGAAACCACGTGACAAGCAATCGAAGTGTGAGGGGTCGCGACCGTACATGGGACTAACACTCCGTTCTGATCACGGATGTGAACGGTTCGGTCATGAAAGTTCACTGGATGATCGGCGCTACGCAACCAAGACATGCCTAGAATCATGTCGAACTTGGTGTCGAGGATATCAAAAGACACCGGCTCGCACGCAAGCGGCGCAAAGTAGATCGGAACGCCGTCGACGCATCGGTCAATTGACTTTTGCGTGCGGCCGTCCGCGAGTGTGACTTGCGTGGGTTGCGTCTTCCTTCGAACGCGCGAGCCAAGGCCTGTGCGGGCCATAAAGGCTTGGCTCATAAAGTTGCGAGGCGCTCCTCAATCAATCAAGGCACTACAGGTTGCCTTTCCGATTTGAATGCGGATATAGAGCAAAGGCGCGTCGGTTTCGGCGTACCTTTGGGTGGTGTACTCGCGGTCAATCTTCGCAAGATAGGAGAGGAGATCGACAACCGCTACCCCGTCGTCCGTCAACGGAGCTGGTACTGTAGTGTGCAAATAGGAGCGTAAATCTGCCATCAAGGCGTTGCAATGCGGCCTTGGCAAGGTTCCGGTCGAGGGTAGAGGCATCCAAGCGAAGTCCTCTCTCGTGAGCGGGTCAAGCTCCTCAAGTCTTGACCACGCCGCCGAGTCCTCGGAAATCAGTGGCGAACTGACCGGATCACTTGCCGACGGTGTACAGGTTGCGCATACGCTAGCTAAGTGCACGTGGCTTGGCTGGTGTAATGGTGGTACCAGCTGGGCGGCATAATCCTCGTACGTAGCACGAGRATCAGCGACTAACGCATGCTCCCCGGTAGTGACATCGATTGCTAGCAAGGCAACCGGTTCCGGCGGAGTGAGGAGAGACGTCGCCCCTCTCCTTGCGTAACTTAGTTTCCCGAGTTTGCTGGACGGAGTACGCGTGCCTTGCCCTTTTCGGGGCATTGTGCAGTCAAGTGTGTGACTCCATTGCACCAAAGGCAATATCTATACTTTTGACGAAGTTCATAGACTTCCTTGGTGATGTTGTAGGCCGTCCATGGCTGCTGCCCAGTTCCCGTCGATGCCGTCTCTTGTGTCGCCTTGGGTTTCCGGACCCTCTTAGGATGCTTCGGCGGGAGCGCTACTACAATTCCTCCATCACTCGAGGATGCTGCTGCAGCGTGGAGATCGTCTGTTTCTTCAGAAATTACGGCATTGTTATGTGCCGGACGTTGATAGCCATGCTTAGCCACATAATGCGGCTGGGATTGTTTCTCGTTAGCGGCCTTGTCGTCCGTTTGGATGACCAGGTTTGCGCGATCCAGGATAGCCTGGAACGAGGTATAGTCGTACTCGTTACTGAGTGCCGACCGCAATCCTGAGCACGATCGCGAGAAGAACTCGGATCGTTGATTAGGAAAAGTCAAATTGAAGCCTGGTGTGGTCACTATCTTCTGCCACTTGGTTGTCCAGTCTCGAGTTGGCATACTTCCTTGAGAGCAGGTGTACACCTCGTTCATGGCCGCCTTCACGACGTTGCGGACCATGAACCGGGTGAACCATAGCTGCTCGAACTCCTTCGACGTGATGTGCTTGTGAAGTTCGGCGATGGTGCATGTGTGGGTAGCCGCCAGATGGTTCATCCATGCCTGCGCTCCTCCAATCAGCTGCAAGTATAACGCCTTCATCAGATAGTCGTCCGGGACAGTGCGGCATGATGCCTCCATGAGGAAACGTTGCCACCATGCCAAAGCGTCCGTCTTGTTGTGGTCGTCGAACTTGCTGATGTCGAAGTGCGGCATCTTGTAGTTCTTCGTAGTGGCGTCCGGTTTCGTCTGCAGCTTGGTGATGTCCGTCTTGATGGCGGCCACCGTGTTACTGATCGTGTCCGGCCCATTGAAAACACCTATGTCGCCGATGAGATTGATGACATGATCGATGCGCCCATTGAGCTGCTTCGTTGTGTCTGTCATATCTGGCGTGCAGCCTGGCGCTGCTTGGGGAGGCCTTGCCTCCAAGGTAGCAATGCGTGCATCCAGCTGTTTCAACTGGTTGTCTGCGACCTTGACAGCTGCTGCAAGTATCTTCACGTTCTGGCTCAGATCGTGCTGCAGCTGCAGTGTGGACCGGGAATGCAGCTCCCCCATGGAGCTGTTCCAAATGACGGCGCGCATTGTATGGAGTAGAATATCTGCCAGGTCGTGCCTCTCTTGCTGTACTGTTGTCGGCTCGCTGCCGGGTGCCGGAACATAACGCATCCCGTTGAGCACCGCTGTCCATTGTGCTTGGTTAGCACTTACAACTTCAGCGCTGCCGGCGTTGAGCTGATCGATCGCCAACTGGTCTGCCTCGGCTTGACGCCTGGTTTGTGCTGCAGCTTCCTCTGCTAGCCGTAGTCTTTCGGCCGCGGCAGCCTCTTGCTGTTCCTTGACCTGGGTGAGTGCGGCTGTATAGTCCTGCATTCTCTGAATGAAGTTCGGGAGGGGCTCATTCGACCCTCGCGCCGGACAGACCGGTAAGGGTTCGGCATTACTAGCTGTCGAACCCTCGGATGATGATCCGCTGTGTGGCGTGTTCGCCATCTGAGTACTGGCCTGTGGCGGTTGCGGAACTGGAGGTTGCTGTCGCTGTTGGTGATCGGCGATCCTCTTGCTGCGTCGTGGCTGCTGTTCGGAGGCTGGGCCTGCTGGCATCAGAAACTGTTGCTGAAGACTGGCTCGTCCGAAGGATCGCAGAACAGTGTGAGGGAGAGGGTGGGTACAGGGATAGAACAGATCAAGCAATCAACATACAGTCCCTGTCCCAAGGATGGACTAAGACACCTAATCAAACAGAAAATAAATTTTCCGTAAACAATTCGAAAATTCGTAATAAGAATAATAATAAYGAATTATTTAATCAATAATTTAATTAATGATTAATAYGAAAGAATAATTCCTAATGATAATCAATAAAACAATGTTTGTAATAAAGATAATCAATAACCAATATTTGCAATAAATATAATCAATAAGCAATATTTGCAATAATGGTAATGAACGAATTTGAATTGTATCAAGATTAGGTCCCTTTGAGATCAACTACGGTCCGGGAATTCACCGTTAATGAGTGAACTACCCGAAAGTTGCAACTTTGAGGGTAAGCTTCGGATCAGTTTGCCCAAAAAAAAATTGGAAAAAGTTAGGGAAAAAACACTCGAATTTTCGGGAATTTCCACCGTCAAAATCCGATTTTTAAAGGCCTAAACCTGTTTTCGGAATTTCTCAAACAAGGGGAACGAAAAGAAAAGAAAAAAAAATTCGCGAAAATTTCGGTCCCAACCCTAATTTTCCGCGTTTCGGCGGAATTTCCGGATTTACGGTTCCCAAAACGTTCGAATTTCCCAAGTTGAGCGAAAACCAATCTTTCGTAACCCTTCTTTCCACTACTGCGATAAAACGGAAATGCCGATTTGTAAAACGAAATACCGGATTAGAAATCAGAATGCCGAAATAAAAACGGAATACCGAAAGAAATCAGAATGCCGAAATCAACAGAAAACTGATTTAACCCTAATTTCGAATTACTAACCAGAAATCCGAATCAAACAGAATGTTGGATGAGTATCAATTTATCGGAACCTAATAAAACACCATACCGGCGAAAAACAGAAATCCGAATAATAAGTCCGAATACTGAATTGAAACGGAAGTGCCGAAATAAACAGAATACCGAAAAAAGAAAAAAAAATTTGCAACTTTGAACTTGATAGTAATWCAGCGCTGATTTGGAAGATTGAAGAACAATCTAATTCCTAAATCAGTCTTACCTGGTGAGCAGATCCGTAATTGGTCTGCTCCGATACCAAAACTGTTACATACTTCAATGAGTATGGGCAGAACCAAAGATCAACCAATG